GGAAATATAGTAAACCAGGGAGACCGGTCAAAAACAAAGAAGGCAAGCCAATTACTGAAATTTAACAACAGCGAAACAGACGGGTAGAGTACTTCGGGGAACTCCTGAATAGGCCGGCTCCAATGAATCTACCGGAAATCGAAGCAGCACACAAAGATCTTCCTATATATGTCAATCCACCAACGGAGGAAGAAACCAAAATGACCATCAGACAAATCAGGAGCGGGAAAGCAGCAGGACCCGACAACATACCAGCTGAAGCACTGAAATCAGACGTCAAAGCAACTACAAACATTCTTCACCTTCTATTCAAGAAGATTTGGGAGGAGGAACAAGTGCCAATGGACTGGAAAGAAGGACACCTCACCAAGATTCCAAAGAAAGGAGATCTGAGCAAATGTGAAAACTACAGAGGCATTACACTACTGTCAATACCAGGGAAAGTCTTCAACAGAGTGTTGCTGAACCGGATGAAGGATGCAGTAGATGCCCAACTTCGAGATCAACAAGCTGGATTCCGAAAGGATCGGCCGTGCACAGACCAAATTGCAACACTACGGATCATCGTCGAACAATCAGTTGAGTGGAACTCGTCACTGTACATCAACTTCATTGATTAGGAAAAGGCATTTGACAGTGTAACTAGGAGGACATTATGGAAACTTCTTCGACACTACGGAGTTCCTCAGAAGATTGTCAATATTATCCGGAACTCAGACGACGGACTATAGTGCAAAGTAGTGCATGGAGGACAACTGACAGATGCATTCCAAGTAAGGACCGGAGTCAGACAAGGCTGTTTACTCTCTCCCTTCCTCTTTCTTCGGGTGGTCGACTGGATTATGAAGACCTCGACATCTGAGGGAAAACGCGGAATACAATGGACAGCTCAGAATCAATTAGACGATTTGGACTTCGCAGACGACATAGCCATCCTATCGCGTACACACGAACAAATGCAGATTAAGACAGACAGTGTAGCAGCCGTCTCTGCATCAGTAGGCCTCAACATGCACAAGGGCAAAACCAAGGTCCCCAAATACAACACGGAGAACAGCAATCCAATCACTCTTGATGGCGAAACTCTGGAAGATGTAGAATCCTTCACATACCTGGGAAGCATCATCGATGAACAGGGAGGATCCGATGCAGACGTAAAGTCAAGGATTGGAAAAGCAAGGGCCGCATTCCTACAATTGAAGAAAATATGGAACTCAAAACAACTTTCAACCAATATCAAAGTGAGAATCTTCAACACGAACGTCAAGACAGTTCTACTGTATGGAGCTGAAACTTGGAGAACTACAACAACCACAATCAAGAAAGTACAAGTATTTATAAATAGCTGACTACGCAAGATACTCAAAATCTATTGGCCGGATACCATCAGCAACATCCTTTTGTGGGAGAGAACAAACCAGCTTCCAGATGAAGGGGAAATTAGGAAAAGACAACGGAAATGGATAGGACATACATTACGCAAATCGTCAAACTGCATGACGAGCCAAGTCCTAACTTGGAATCCTGAAGGGAAGCGGAAAAGAGGAAGGCCAAAGAACACATTACGTCGGGAAATAGAAGCAGATCTGAAAAGGATGAATTACAACTGGAAGGAGCTGGAAAGGATTGCCCAGGACAGGGTTGGATGGAGAATGCTGGTGAGCGGCCTATGCTCCTTCACGAGGAGTGACAGGCGTAAGTAAGTAAGTATTATTTCTAGCCCTGTACTAAGTGCAATTATCTGTGTTTAAAAAGATAAAATAAAAGAAAGCTAAGTTGCACCTGTTTTAACTAAAGGTGTATGCAGACCCAGGTTTGACATTAACGTGGGATAAGAGGAATCTTACATTCTCCATTATTATTATTATTATTATTATTATTATTATTATTATTATTATTATTATTATTATCAGTAGTTGATATTATATTCAGGTCTAACATTTCTTACTGTATTCAGTGATAAATCTTCCGACTAAACGGTTGACTCGCTCTCCTAAGGTTTTCTAGTAACCCCCAGGCTAAATCTGCACAATAACTTGGACACGAGAGAAAAGACGCGAAATGTGGAAAGAACGCTTTACTCCAAGGTTAGTTTGTGTAGAGAAAATTTAGAGCATTTATAGCATTCCAGACAGCCTTGGGTTTCTGGAACCCTTCTAAAGATAGTAGCAGGATAGGTAATCATCCAATCAGAGCTGTGGCACGTGAATCTTCACTTTCTATATGTCTGTGAGAAACTTATATTCAATACTGATTGGATGAAATGTTTCCCAGTGTTCTTAGGGCTCCTTTAGGCTTTTTTCGAGGAATTTTCTAGGTCTCCGCAACATTCAGTGGCTTATCTCATGTTTAGTCGTTTTAACATATTTTCAAATGAGCTAAGTTCTAACGGACTGTACTCATTTAATCAATCATGGAGTGAGTATGTAATTCTCTCGCCATCTATCATGACTTGTTTTCCTTTACTCCAAAATTCCTTGATACCGCCAAGAGTAGGAAGAGCTGCTCTCCCTCTCGAAATGCTATCACGTGGCCACCCGTATATAGCCATTGCCAGGAGAGTCTTACTCCTAGCTCATATAAATTTAATGACTTGTGTGGGGCATATATATTTGGAGCCTCTTTATACCGATTTCCATGTATTTAAATAAATCAAATTTTATTTAACTGTTTAGTTTAACTGTCGATCAACCATTTTGTGAAATATCTTGAGAACTTAGTGTGTATTAGGCGAGTTTCGTAGTAGAAAGTATCACAACTGACCCTTGCTAAATTTTTTAATCCTGACTGCATTTGTATATATAGTGCACTAATTTGAAAAATTTTTGGTGTATTCGGTTACTTTTCGAATTTCAATGAGTAATGCGTCGGACGATTACATTTGAATTCAAACTTTCCAACTAATCGCATATCCATTTGGTCTCAATATCACTGAATGTTTTCAATATAAGGCATTAGAGTTTATGTAGTCACTGATTTCTAATAATCTCGAGAAATTGTGTTTGTCTCGATGATTGACTGAATGACAGAGAGTAAGTGAGCCCACCTGTTTGTATCGAATTCACAGTCTGTTACTGAAGAATTCCTACCTAATTATTCAATTTTCTTTAATTTTCTCTGATTGCTCAGTTAATGACAGCCAATCTACAATCAAAACTATGTTCATTATTATTAACTCTTTATGAAAATCCCATAAGTTTCAATTAATTAACATATACCCAAATAACTTAAATATACTACCATTTATGTAGAGAAGTCTTTTTTTATAGATGCATTCAGTCATCGAGTGGCTTACAATTTTCTCTCATTTCTTTGACTTAGAAGTTCTTTTAAAACAATCCCATCATTGTACACACAACTCACCTTTCCTTCACAGATAAATACAAAAATAAATAAATAAACTTTTCATTCGTTGAATTTCCAGACAGTTTGATAATGACATACCTCGTTTGTATCTGGCATATTTTGGAATTAAAGGTATTTTGTACATACAAGATTTTATTGTTGTTTGGTCGACAAGACTAATTATCTAGAGATGGTCATGTGATGCATTGGAAGGTTCAGACTTGTCCGAAAAAAGCTAGATAAAATAAATATAAATTTTGCTATCAATATTTACAGAGATTTCCATTAATTTGCAGTTTGTTTTATTCAAAATTACAGACAATTATTAGTGTTTTTATAACAAAGTACATACTGATTTTATTTTGTAGTCTAAGTGTTGTTGTTAGCAAGTTATGAAAAACTACCATTCAAGGGTGAACATAATAAATGATCATAGTCTGTTCAAGAAATACGTGAACTGAAGTCTTCTACGTTCAGGTGCATTAATTACATAGGTGCTTGACATTTTATCATCATCCCTTAAGCATTTTATCAATACAAAGAATTCTCAGGGAGACTGTAGAATTCAATTTCCCAAAGATAGGAGCCTTAAAAGTCTTTTAAACTGTCAACCACAAAGTAATAAAAACAAATAAGCTATTCTACTAGTAAAAATGATATGTTTCTCAAACAGAGTTTAACACAATTAGTGCGAGAAAAAGTCAATGCAGAAGTAAAAATTGTACATACAGGGCAGTAATTAAAGGACAAAATATGAGTCATTGAAAACATTGTCAAGCTTAATTCATTTTTGTATTGGTTGTTTGAGTCTTCCCATTGATGTTTAGGTCTGCAACTGATCAGCCTGGGATTCAAGTACATTCAGCTGATGAGTCTCAAATAGAATGAAACGCGCGTCCTGGATTCTATTGCTAGCTACCATCCATCCTTGCTTATTGTACCACTTGTTAAAAAGGTGCAGGTTTATGATTGGCAGAAGAATACAACCTAGCCATTACAAGGTTAAAGTAAATCAAAGTGCTGAGTGTTTAATAATACCGTTGGTCGGTCTGCTTAGCGATTACACTTAAAATTGGCCTAAGTTTGGTGCTTGGAGAGGGCAATATATCATTGCAGTTGAATTACTGGTCATAAGATCGCGGATAATCACTACTGAATGTGAAGACACATTCCTGAGTACTAATTGGACAGAACATGTACTTATAAGTAGATTATAATTATTACCCATTGGTAAATGAATAAGTACAGGGCACCATGATCAACGTTACTCAAGGCTGTACGTGTTAAAGCTATTTTTGATAACTAGCTTTTGAAGATTTAGAGTTGATTTTCATCATTTAACTGAAAATCATATGGTTACTGATACTGTTAGCTGTTCATGAGATCGAAATCTATACCTTTCGAGCAACCATGGTACTGCAAAGCAGTTGAAGAAATCTAAATTAAATAGTCTACTTGCGTTAATTCGTGATGCACAGAGCAACAACCACCATCTATACTCACACTTGACCTTTTCAACACAAAATGGTATTACAACTCACCCCTCACTGAGACTTCGAGAAATTCATCTTTGTAAACCAAGACAAAAATGAAAATGATCTCATTATAATTCAGCTGAATAATTCCCTCTAGCGATTATACTGAAATTTATATCAATGACAAATACACGCTATGAACTAACTATTACTACCACTACTACTACTACTAATACTACTACTACGACTACTACTACTACTACTACGACTACTACTACTACTACTACGACTACTACTACTACTACTACGACTACTACTACTACTACTACTACTACTACTACTACTACTACTACTACTACTACTAATACTACTAATACTAATACTACTACTACTACTACTACTATTACTACTACTACTTATATTGATTGATTAGATTGTTTATTGTATGAATAATAACGAGGTTTTACATGACATGTGTGATCAGATTGTGTGTATGCGTGTGTAAAGTAAATGAAATCGTGGAAAATAGTAAAAAACACGACAACAATTGAACAAAGTCAGTCAGTACAGTTGTTCTTTGTCTTTAATATTCTTGTGTTATTTCCTTCTTTTTGTTTCTTTCTTTCCTTCCCTTTCAATCGTTTAATTGTTCACATTAACCTGCCTGAACGGTAATAATGATAATAATAACGATATGCAGAAGAAAGGATAGTGTGTGTGTGCATTATGTACAAAGTAGTTAATCTTTCAAACAATTATTTTCTTAAACAATGAAACAAACAAAGATAAAATGTGAATAAAACTTATTATTTGTCGATTGAATTAAAAGTTAACTTTTTGGATCATTTAGGTTATAATAAGAATGTACAAAAGAATAATAATTAAAGTGGTCATGTGGAGGACTTCCGTAGGGTTATTTGATTAAGGATAATTGTCAATGACTTAGTGTTACTTTTTTGATCAAGAACACAAGTGGGGACAGCCAAATGTATTAGAACGCAAAATAACAGAATCTCTTGGTATTATCTAAGAACCATATAGTAAATACTTCGTTTACAAAATATCCATCAACTGTCTCAGATTTTATTGTTCCTTCATTCCTATACCAATCACTCTCTGTTCCCGTTTTCTTCTCTTCTATCTTCTCAACCTTCTACCACTAGGCATTTCACTTTCGATGGGTGATACATATTACTCATATCTGTCGATATCAGCAGCACACACCACAACATGTTCTGAGGTTATCTGATTGTGATACCGATATGCATACTTCCAATACGCGAGCTCAACTTCATACGTGACTCAGAATTAAGAGTGAGTTGTAATCGGCAAATCAAATAATGATATATAGAACTGATATATATAAGAAAGGTCATAAATAGCTTCACCCAGTAGTGTTTTTAGTTTGTTATCTCTCGTTCAGCAAGTGGACTTGTAACTGGATATGAGTACAAGCACCCTCCATGTCTGGTTTCACTCAACCTATTATTAGGTTTCAAACTGCGTATATGCACCCAGGACAAATTTCGGATATTGTGATGACCTTAACTCCATTAAGTCTTTTGAGTTGTGTTCTATTTATTCCACATTTTCGAACTTTAATTAGTTCGCAATGTGGTGTAGTAATCGTTAGTAATCTTAGTGCTGAGTATTTGTTATATAACCGGCTCAAATCTGGTACTTGGAATAAGGAGAAAGTGAAATTTGGACAACTTACCCTTTGAAAAAAGATAAAAAATAATTCAGTAAATTAATGGAACAAAACGTTGGACAATAAATATCACAATGAATTAAAATAACTTCACGTCTTCTTTCTCATTTGAACACCTCCATCTTTTCAGTTAGATACCTATGATTAAGTTCTTTGTGTGAGTTCAGGCTTTTTCAGTCATTTGTTTTCTTATGAATGCAAATAGTTAACACAAGCAAATAATGAGTTAATATCACTTGAAATTGAATGACCATAATATACTACTGTAGTGGACGCTACTCACAAGGATATTTGTAAGTAGTGTGTAGAGGGACGTGGTATCGAAGCTGCAACAGTTGTCAGACAGAGCAAAGAGTTTCAGTACACTGAAAGCATGGAGTTGGCAGAACACATGGAGGCCAGTCAAGAAGACACTTCAGATTTCGAAACACCAGAAGATGCACATGGAAGATTGAAAGCTATGTATATGTATTATGTACATACTTTGTAACTTCTCTTGAAAAAAACATGCATACCGCCTGCCTATTGTCGTGTTTTATACCACCAAAGAATCTGCACTTATATTCAACTTTAGTGCTCTGGAAAGTCTCCTGAGTACTCATTAAGGGAATTTTAGAATATTCACCTTGTCCCCGTATGAAATTTCAGAAGCCTCAAATTCGGACTAAGCAACTGGTCAGCGCTTCCGTATTTTCACAAAATGTAAAGAAAACTATTTACACAATGTAAACGAACTTTTAAACAAACACTGAAATGTATGAGTACTCTTATTTCAATATTTATTGAGTATTCATAAACGCGGTTCATTACGAATGGCATTCTTTTTACAATACATCAGCTAAATTTTTCATTCACTTGAATAAGTGATCACTATCATATATATGAAGTAAATATTTCCTATTTAATCACTTCACTAACTTCAAAAACATTGACAAGAAACGTTAGTGATTACTATAAGAACAAATATACTAGTGGGTTACTGAGTAGTAACCGGCAAAATGTATTATACTCATTATTGCTGTTGGAAACCTGTCGGCCAAGCTACAGTGAAGTTATTAGTCTCAGTGATTCAACACTGTTATACAATTTATTTGATGTTGATTGATTACAAAGAGGCCTGATTTCTATAGACCTCTTTTCTCACTGATTGTATAGTTTCATTGTAACTTCTGTAATTGTAATATAAGATGAATAGGTGTTTAATATCCTCAAAAAACTCTACGTAAACCTTGTTAGAAGAATTCCAGGTAATTTTAATAGTTGAGATCATGAGTCAATTGAAGTTAAACCACCATGAAAAACCTGGAAGCACTGGACGGCCGTTTCGTCCTATTGTGGGACCCATGATTTCAACTATTAAAATTACTATAATATCCACAAAACCCCTTCTGATAAAAAATCCAGGCAACACACACTTAAATTTCAGGTTCACTACCAACTGATCACCAGTCACCTAAAACAAATGAAGTGATTGTTTGCAGAAGTGACTAAATTTTGAAATCGGAAATGTAAACTACTGAGTTTTTAGTTGATAGTCTAAAGATAAAATGCTCGCCAAGAGATTTGAATATTAAGTAGTATAACCAAGTGCATACTATAATAGAGTACTAGATTATGATGTAGTGCTTATCTTATGTTTATGAGTTTTCAATGGTTTTTCAGTTCATATCAATCTGGAATGAAGATATATCTTACATTAAACGAAATAAAATTCTGAAATTCAACTTGAAATTGACTTAAAATAATTGTGGATGTGTAATCTACTCGATATTGCTAGCCATCCAAATAGTAGATAGATGTTATATTATACCAAGAGTTTGAAAAGTTAATAACCAGGCAGGCTAATGATCAATTCACAATAAACCATATAAATTATTTTTAAATTAGTTAACACTGCACATTCGAGTTGATTCGACAAATTTACACAACACTAGTTTTCTTGTTTATTTAATGTGACTACTTATAAGTAGATAAAATAAGTTTAAACATTTATGACGTTAATGTATGATTGTTGATTAACTTCGAAAGAAGACCATTAGATAACTCATTTTTTTCAGATCCATGATCCATGAGATCATACACTAAATCTATGTGGTATTTATTGTTTTTATTGTTGTTGTTTTTATTTGTAATTCGATGTGATAATTGTGTGGTGTTTATTCAGTATAGTATTTGTTTGTAATAGTTTTGTATGACATCCGTTCGCTATAACATTCAGCGTTAATTTCAATTGTTTTTGATTGAGATCTTGAACCAATTGGATTGGTTGATGTTAGAAACTATCACCATTGGATGCCGGCTCAGTGGTCCAGTTGGTTAAGCGTTCGCGCGCGAGACCGAAGGCCCTGGGTTCGAGTCCCGCTCGCGGGATCGTGGATGCGCACTGCTGAGGAGTCCCACAATAGGACGAAACGGCCGTCCAGTGCTTCCAGGTTTTCAATTGTGATGGTCTAACATCAATTGGTTCAAGATCTCAATCAAAAACTTAATAATCTCCACAACCCCTATACTAGTAATTTCAATTGTGTTAGCGGAATATAGATTGGATTAAAACACTTTCCGTGAGGGATTATGCTGGAGCACGCTGATAGGCTATTTCTTAACTAATCAACGGTAGTGGACACTGGGAGAAGACTAGATTCTTCTCGTATAAAAACTATAAATATACTAATGTTTCTCCTATTGTGCTTCTTACTTTCATCTAGCCTTGTTATTTGAAATTTAATTTCGTTCATGTTCAACTGTGTTCTGACTTGGGGACTTGTTGAGTGAATTAGTGTCCAAGAATACTAGGCAATAGGAATAGCTGGATCGTAATAAGAGGAATTATAGCAAAGTGACTTAGTGTAAAATCCAGTTTTATCCTCACTATTTCAGTTATGTAAGAAAATTCATTGGCTAATAATAAGATTTCAGTGAATAATGTATAAGAATGAGCATCTTGAATTAATGACTTGTGGTTGTTGTTCTTTTCAAGCTAAATAAAGTCTTCATTCTGCAGTCAGTTCTGTCTTCTTTCTTCTGCTGTTCATTCTCAACCTTTCTGTCATCACTGTGCACATACGATTCTCCTAGGGATAAAATTCAGAATCATTTGTTATTGTCATTCTGAGTAAAATTAATTTAGACCACCGAGTTAGGAACTTTAATCATTCTGTGACACAGAGCGTCACAACTATTGAATAATACCGTGTGCATTGTAAGGAGGAGTCTTGGACAAAATAACTGTCCATTATTCTGTCTTTTTTCAACAGTTCATTAGCTGTAGTGAATTTGTACTATTAATTAATTTAACTAAGTAATAACCAATTTCATATTTATCTAGTCCTTCAGTGTTGATCGATTTTTATCCATCAAATCGTTATTCAGTGATCAATCAGTTTTAAATAATTCAGTCTTATAAAAGATTAGTTAGGGTCTAAGTGGAGTAAGGGGTCTTGTTGACTACTTTAAGCCATCTAAGAAATCACTCTGTGTAAAGAAAACTTTCCAAAAACTGTATCGAAGTTTCTAATCATTTTTCTATTGTCATAAATTAAATGATACATCAGTTACTACTGATAAGTGTTATTTCAGGTTCTTTGTTCAAATATTTCATGTGTAAAGTAAAAAAAGTACAGATGAATTCCAATGGTGAAATGAGATCACAGGATAGACAGACATCATCATCCATTGCGATACATTTGATTGAGACGAGTCATAAGGTTGACATCAAATC